CCACTTGCTTCCCATGCCGTCCCACAAACCATTTGGCTTTTGGGCCCATGGCCACCCTGTAATTCCTAGGTGCTCAAAAGCCTCACACCCCTAGCTGCAAACATTCCATGGACGTGGCCCAGACATGTCTGTGACACCATGGGACATATGATGCCAATGGCACTGCGCAGATTGTCTTCCGCTACATGAAATCGCACAATGCATGCCTGAGTGTACGCCCCAAAGTTGTACTGATCAGCCCTTTATGATTCCAAGCCCAAAGCTAGCGGTAAGAATGAGGAAGTGAAACCTTTAGGACATTTTAAAGCTATTCTTCCGAGGTCCATCCATAATCTCCATGTTGCCCATGCCGCGCGCAGGCTTCGGATGATTCGCAGACCGCGATCGAGAGTGAGCCTTTGCTGGAGAAGGGCAAGGCTGACAATGGCAAGAAGGACTTCTTGGGATCTTCTCTCTTCATTATCCTCTTGTTTGTCTTCAAAGCCAAAATACCTTAATTGTTTTCAAGAATCCACAATTTCGCAGGAAACAATGCCAAGTGTGGAGCGCGCCCTTCGCGTGTACGCTGAGCATCACAATCTGCTGGCAATGGACGTCACAGAGAAGATTGTGGAGGAAAGCCCTGAGGGCCTGGAGCACTGGGCATGCTCGGGGTTGGACATGGGTGCCCGCAGCGCCACCGGCCAGGCGATCAACCGAGCGTTTGCCAGGAGCAACAAGGCCAAAGAAATCTACAAGTGGTTGGGCGAGGACCTGAAGCGCAAGTTTCGGATGAGTTGGAGCTTGCACCGCAACTTTGACACTGTGGTGAAAAAGCGGCTCAGGGTCTTGCGCAACACGAAGAAACAGACGGAACTTGGGATTTGGAAATCCGAACTGCAACTGCAAGTGCACTACGGCGGTGCTGGCATTCCCGAAGCGGAGCGCCAGGCGTCCTGTTACATGGCCCGTTGCCGAGAGTATAAGGATTGACAGTTGAAAATGGCAATCTTGTTCAAGTTTTCGTTTATGTTTTTTGGAGCTCTTTGTGCCTTCTAGGACGTCTTCGTCGAGTTCAATGAGTGGACGCAGACCGAGAACTTTCTCTTGGTTGAGAAGCTGAGCTCAAGCACCCAGGCAGAGGAGTGGGCCGAAGTGGTGGAGCAGTGTGATGGATCCGGTACCTTTGCCACAGAGTCCTTCCGCTTGAAGGCCCGGCGCAAGTATGCGGTGGTCAATGGCCTCAAGTTTGAGGACGTGACTGTGGAGGAAGTTGAGACGTCCCCGCAGGGTTTGAAGGGCTGGGCGGAGATGGTGGTGACCGTCCCCGGCATCGAGGAGGCTCAGTCAAAGCCTGCAGCTTGGATGATATCATGTCAAAAGCGAATCCTTTGTTTTGCTTTGAAGGGTTTAGGGTTTTTGGAAAAGGTTTGTTTAGCCTTTTTTGATCTTTCGGTAGGCTTCGATTGGAGCGCCGCCTGTGGCCCAGCCTACCTCGCGGAAGCGCAAGGCTGACAGCTCCCCAGCCCGCTCTGGCAATGATGTGGATCCATCGGCAGGGTCTGCCCCTGAGAGCAAGCCCAACAACACGAAGGGAAAGGCCAAGGCAAAAGCCAAGGGCAAGAGCAAGGAGGCCATTGAGCTGAAGGAGACCGAGAAGAAGGGCAAGAGCA